AATTACCATGGCAACAGTAGGAAAATGCATAAAATCATAACAAAACATTGGCATATATTAAAAGATGACCCTATTCTTAAAAATATATTACCAGAAAAACCAAAAGTCATCTTTAGAGGTGTAAAAAACTTGAGGAACACTTTAGTTCAAAGTAGTAATAAAGAACAAACAGTAGGACAAACCTTCCTTACAATAAGTAAAGGATTTTATGGATGCGGACAGTGTCTAGCATGTAAAAATACAAAGAATAAAAAAAAGACACCTAACAGACCTAGAATCCATTATTAACAAGAAATTTACTATTAGAGATCATCTAACATGTCATTCGAAGGGAGTGATCTATATTTTAAAATGTCCCTGCAATCTTCTATATGTAGGCCGTACAATTCGAAAATTAAATTTAAGAATAGCGGAACACATAAGAAACATCAAAAATGGAGTCGAAACCCATAGTGTTTCGAATCATTTTAAACACGTTCATCAACAAAATCCAGAAGGAATGTTTTTTTGTGCTCTAAAATTAGTAAAAAAAGATTGGAGAGGTGGTGATTATGTGAACAAAATAGGAAAGGAAGAGATGAAGTTCATATTCAATTTTGACACTATGACTCCAAACGGTCTGAACAATGATTTTGAACTATGCCACTTTATGCATTAGTTTTAGCCTATCTTGGTTTTATATTATTTCATGAAAGTTTTTAGGCATCATTTTATACATTTACATACCATTTTTGTGTTTCTTTCACTATCGGCTATTATATGTATTTTATTTAGTTTTTATTGTGTATTTTTACCAAATTTCTAGAAATTACATTCTGCCCCTTTAAGATTGTGATAGCAATCTCCTAAAACTAATAATATTAGTTTTTATTCTTTCTCATAAAATTAGCTTTTTACTCTCTCTCATAATATTCGATTTTTTATATTATTTAAGACATAGCACTTATAATTTTATATGTCACACTATTATTGTGTAAATACAGGCAGAATGCCATTTTTAGGTTCACATTTGGCCACCCGATGTGAGGCTGGGAGTGGAACGCACGTGCGTTCCACCTGAGTATGACCCGGAAGTGTAGAGAGACCCGGAAGTGAACTGCTGCTTGAAGTTGGAGCGCATGTGCGTTCCACTTGTGGTGCGTTGCGGAGGTTGGCGCCGGGTTGGGGCGCGCGGGCGCTCCATCCGGAAGTCGGCGCTGAAGTTCCGGTATGCGCACGGAGTTGGGGCGCACGTGCGTTCCACTTGCGGTGCGTACCGGAAGTTAATGCCGTAGTTGGAACGCACGTTGCGTTCCACCAGACGGAATCAGGAAGTGCCATATAAAAGAAGATACAGCCGGCCGGCGGCATTTTCAAAAAAAGAAAACATTGGAAGAAATATTAGAGCCAACTGAGGAAGCCTGTTAATCAGGCGAAACGCGTTTTGGACACTCATTTTCAACTTTTATAGACTTTTTTATTGGACTCTATCTACATCCAATATTTATTGGTATAGTATATTGCCATTTTGTTATTTTATTTTACAAATAAACAAGAATTATTTTTCAAAGATCCTTGGTATACTGGGCATCTTTATTGAAGACCATCAGGAGAAATAACAAGCAATCAACAAAAGAAGGGTTTGGACAACCCCCTAATGGTCCAAGAGAACATACTTTTAGAGTCATATGACGGTATGACTCTATCCTTGTGAGTGCTTTTATTCTCATTTTTTATATGCTATATATTGTATAGATATACTACGCTATCTGCATATATTCTATTTTCCAGATTGTTCAAGACACTCCACAGCTCCACCTATAACTCTGTATGTATTGGAGTTTGTGGGGTTGTTCTAATCAGTTCAGCCAGGGGTTCTATCGCTAAGACAAACAAAATTGGAGATAAAGGGCACCCTTGTCTCGTCCCGTTGGTTAGAGAAAAAGTTTTGGATGTGAAGCCAGAAGCTGAGACATGGGAGGAGGGTGCTCAATATAACGCCTTAATTGCTGTGATAAAGGATGATGGTATGTTGAACCTGTCTAATGTTCTCCATAAATATCCCCAATGTATCCTGTCAAACGTCTTTTCTGCGTCTAGAGACATAAGCAAAGAAGGCGTTTTGGTCATATTGATGTGCTGAATCAAGTTTATGAATCTTCTAGTTCCGTCTGGCGCCTGTCTATTCTGTACAAAACCTACTTGATCCTTATTAATTAACAATGGGATTAGTTTGGTTAATCTATTAGCGAGAACTTTAGAATAAATCTTTGAATCATTATTAATCAGAGAAATGGGCCTAAAGTTAGGGCATCTATCAGGAGTTTTTCCCAGCTTTGGCAAAGTGACTATTCGTGTGCACAAGGACTCCTCTGGCATCTTTCCCCCAGACTTATAGGAATTGAACAATTTAGTCATATGGGGAATTAAAATTTCTGGAAAAGTTTTATAATATAAAATAGTAAATCTGTCGGGACCAGGGGCTTTTCCAGATGGCATAAGTTTAATTGCCTCAGCTATCTCTGCTGCTGATATTTCACATTCTTAGCTTTCTAAATGTCCTGGAGACAGCCGAGGCAATGACACTCTGTCTAAGAATTTATCAATTATTGTTGTAGAAGGCTGGGGGAGGTCCAAATTACATTCTAAATTATAAAGTTTACTATAATACTCTGCGAACATATCACTAATTTTAGTTGGATGAAATACTTTTTCGCCCCTGATCATCAAGTAAATATGCTATTTTTGATTGGGCATTCACATGCCGGAGTTTGGATGCCAAAAGAGTTGAGGCCCTGTTGCCTTTTAAGTAAAATGTTTTCCTGAGACGTCTCACCATGAGAGATGTACGATCTAAATTAATTTTGTTAATTTTAGCCTTAATTTCTCCTATCATTGCTGATAGGGAGGGCGATGGACCAAATTTATTAGCCTGGTTCAAATTGTACAGTTCTTTTTCCAATGTTCTTAAATTATTGCTATTAATTCTCTTCAGGTGAGACGCTCTAGAAATAAAATGACCTCTTAACACAGCCTTATGCGCATTCCAAGTCACCTCGCCAGGGACCTCGGGCGAGGCATTCTCCGAAAAATAATCACACAAAGCTTTCTCCGTCAGTGACCTGTTCACAACATCATTTAACAAATAATCACCTAATTTCCAGGTTCTGTTAGGGGCTGATGAAACAATTTCGTCAATATGCATTATGATTGGAGCATGGTCGGACCAGTTGATGTTTAAGATATCAGATTTCAAGATGTGAGGAATTAAAGCACCCTGGACCATAAACCGGTCCAGCCTGGAATACATATTTTTAGAGACAGAATAATACGTAAAATCTCTTTCATTCTCATGCAACAGTCTCCAAGGGTCGTATAAGCCACATTCAATCATATATCTGGAGCATTTATACGCTAATCTGTCACTGTCCCCTCTAAGCTGTCAATCACGTTCTTCCCTAGCGTTATCCAACTCTCCATCCATCACAAAATTCGTGTCACCACACATTACCAAGCTGCCTCTCACATTCTCATTCACTAAGTCCATCAATTTCCTAAAAAACTGTAACTGACCGGTGTTTGGAAAATACATGTTCACAATAGTATATTCAATAGTATTGAGTGATCCTATCCATATTAAATACCTCTCGTCATCATCCGTTATAACTTTGTTTGTAAAACATGCTACATTCCTGTGAAAGAAAATCGATGTACCTCTAGACTTGGATTTATAAGTGCAATGGTATTAAACTGGGAAAAGCTTTGACATGATTTTATGGTCTTTATCATCTTTAAAATGTGTTTCCTGTACACAGATCACATCTGATTTGTTGGATTTTGCTTCTTTGAATAATAATCGTCTCTTGTGAGTGGTGTTCAGGCCTCTCACATTAAATGACATATTTTAAAACCATGGTTTATAGAACAGTAATACCTGGTAAAGGGTAAAAGAACATTCAATTTTGTGAGAGTCCCAGCCACCATCTTCCAAGAGGGAAACATGCAAGTCCAACAAAGCTGTTAAGGCAAACTCAAACTGTGTACCTGTGTGTACAGGAATAATGAGTAAACAGATATTTACAATTTGCTGATACCATGTAGTATGCATTTTTGCATGAAGCATTGCAGTGCTTCGTGGTCTAAAAACATTTCTACTGAACTTTAAATAATGAATGGACCAGAAATATAAAAAAAAAAATTAAAAAGGAGAACAAAAAACTTGGGTATATACCCCTATCAGGGGTGAAACAAAAACAGTCAAAGAGGGCCATCAGGGAGAACAAAAAAAGTTTCTCCATCTCAGGGTGTTAGGCCCGGGTTGGGGGGAGAGAAGGCTACTGGGTGCAGGGGGAGCCAATATAAGTAGTAAAAAACAAAAAGCAACTTTTTAAGTATGACAATTGAAAGGGTAAAAAGCACAGAACAATAAAAAAATAATACAATTAAATAAATATGAAATTATAGAAAAAAACTATTTTGATTGTATAAGTTTAGAAAGTTTTAAATAAAAGGATCGGTTTCTAAAATAAACCAAAAAGGCACAGGTCAAATAACCGTTGGTGGAAGAACTCAGAAGTCTGTCATAAAAAGGAGAAACAGATGAAAATTCAAAGTAATCCCGCTAAATCGCCGGACTGGAGCAGGACTCGATGATGACCGTAGAAAAGGAAGACTATGTCTCTTTGAGCTGGGATCTCAGGAAGTGTCCGATTTGCTTCTCTTGCTGGCCTGCACAGGAGTAGATGGCGAGAGTCTATGAGGCGAAACCTGACGTCTATTCATAGTATTGATGAGTTCCATTACTTCTTCAGGTGACGTGACTATAAAATTCCGACCATCCATACGGAAAAGGACTTTAACCGGGAATCCCCATCTATATCCCTCTTCGTCTTAGCTCCGCAGTGAAAAGTTGAAATTCCCTGCGTCGCTTCATTGTTTGAGCAGAAAAGTCTTGAAAGACCTTCATGCTGCTGTAATCTCCTGTGAGACCTGACGTGCGTACTGCACCTAGAAATTCCTCTTTAATGTGGTAGTAGTGGAATAACTATCACGTCTTTGGGTGCAGCTGGAGGTGCATTGCCGGGTTTGGGCAATCTATGGATGCGATCCAATAATAAATCCGTATTTTTTACGTTTGGTAGAGCTGACTTCACCATTGTCTGGAAATAGCTATGTAATTCCTGGGAATCGATATTATCAGGGATCCCCCTGATCCTTAGGTTATTACGCCTACTTCTATCCTCAGCTTCGGCGAGCTTTTCTGCTTGTTGGTGCACTTGCTTTTGGAGCTCTTTTACGGTTTCAACCAGATCCAGATGAGATTGCTCTTGAAAGTGCAATCTATTCTCTATTATTTCCGTACGCTGATTAATGCCCTCCATGGCTCCATATAATGCGTCAAAGTCATTTTTAAAGTCATTTTTCAAATCAACTCTCAAATCTTTAATGAGTTGAATTATCATGCCAGCTGACGGTGGCAGGTCTTCTGCCAATTCAGGTGGCATATTAGGATTATAGGTCGCAGCTTTAAATGTGGTAGTAGCCATATTGGAGGTGGCAGCGGCCATCTTGGGAGTGGAATATACAATATCTGGACTGGCAGCCATCTTTGTTGTGGCATCATAACGTGTTCTCTGTGGTAGTGCAGAGAAAGCACTTTTTTGGAGCACTTCAGCCCCTATTTCCATGCTGTTATCCTCTGGGCTTACTATAGCCCTTGCTGCCCCTTTAAATATTTTGGGTCGGACAGCAGAGTCCCCCCCCGCCGGGACCGACAGCCTGGAGGCCTCACACTGCCCTCCCCTATACTAGCAACCCGGTCGCTTTTGTAAGTAAGCGACCGGGCTGCTCTGGAGTGAGACCGCGAGCGGCTTGCTGGGTGGTCCTTTCCGCTCGCGGGAGACACAGCACTGTGCTCCGAGCATGCCGAGTACTCAGAGCACTCTGAGCCGCACACAGGAGTGCCGGCTTTTTTCCAGTGCATCATATTTAACATACAGTTGTGCTAAATTCTGTGAGTTTTTTCTTTTTTCTTCTGATCCTAATTTTATAAATTGACCCCTAATTGTACATTTAAATGCACACCAAAGCATTGACATTGATATCTCTGAGCTTTTATTTTCTTTAAAATAGTCATCTATAGCCTTTTTTTATAATATCCACATTTTGATTATTTTTTTTGCAGCTGTTTGTTCAGTCTCCAATTAGATCTAGTTTTAACAAAGTCATCTTTAATGACCATAATTAATGCATTGTGGTCTGACCAAGGGATATTAGTAATTAGTATCTTTTTAATCAATATTGCAATGTTTATCTCTGTCAAGCAGCGGCGTCTACAGGATTCATTTTTAGGGGGGGCACATGGTGGGCTAGGGACAAAAGTAGGGGGGCACATTTAACCCTGTCCTCGCCGCAGTTTGACCCCGCCCCTGCTGCATGTTACGCCCCGCCCCCGACACAATGTGTTTTTTGTTTTTTTTAATAATCCCTGGTGGAGAATTCATTATTTTCCACCAAGGATTATTAAAAAAACAAACACATTTCCCTTGATACAGTCCATACACACACACACAGACTGCTGAGTCCTTAAACACACAGAGACTGCTGAGTCCATACACACACACAGACACACAGACTGCTGAGTCCAGGGCTTCCATGGCTTTTTACCCCAAACACAGACACATAGACTGATGAGTCCACACACACACACAGACTGCTGAGTCCATACAGACACACACACAGACTGCTGAGTTCATACACACTCACACACACACACACACAGACTACTGAGTCCATACACACACAGACACAAACACAGACTGCTGAGTCCATACACACACGCACACACACACACACAGACTGCTGAGTCCATACACACACACACTGCTGAGTCCATACACACACAGACACAAACACAGACTGCTGAGTCCATACACACACACACAGAGACTGCTGAGTCCATACACACACAGAGACTGCTGAGTCCATACAAACACAGACACATAGACTGCTGAGTCCATACACACACACACACTCACAGACTGCTGAGTCCATACACACACACACAGACTGCTGAGTCCATACACACAGACTGCTGAGTCCATACACACACACACACACACACACACACACACAGACTGCTGAGTCCAAACACACAGACACACAGTTTACATAGTTACATAGCTGAAAAGAGACTTGCGTCCATCAAGTTCAGCCTTCCTCACAAATGTTGTTGCTGTTGATCCAAAAGAAGGCAAAAAACCTGGTCTGAAGCGCTTCCAATTTTGCCACAAACTAGGAAAAAATTCCTTCTTGACCCCAAAATAGCAGTCAGATGTCTCCTTGGATCAAGCAGCTATTACCCCACTAATTAGAAATTATATCCCTGTATGTTATGTTTTTGTAAGTATTTATCCAATTTCAGTTTAAACATCTGTATGGACTCTGACAAAACCATCTCTTCAGGCAGAGAATTCCATATCCTTATTGTTCTTACTGTAAAAAAAACCTTTTCTTTGTCTTAGATGAAATCTCCTTTCTTCCAGCCTAAATGTGTGACCTCGTGTCCTATGTATAGCCCTGTTTATGAATAGATTTCCAGATAAAGGTTTGTACTGGCCCCGAATATATTATTGCTCATTATTGCTAATCCATTAATAAGTATCGAGAGAGAAAAAAAAATCCCTTTCTTCTCTTCTCCTTAATCTCCAGCGACGCTGACCTGGTAGCCACTGTCCACAGGTAACTTTCTGAGGTGATTTAATGTAATGTCCAATTATCAAATGGATTTTTTTAGATATCAAAAATCTAAATTATGAGCTTTGAGAGTCTTTGCTATCTTGCTGTTGTAAAGAGACAGTATTACTTATACAAAGAGCAACTTAACCCTTTTGTGTATTTTTCCTTTTCTTCCTTTCTTCTCTCCTTCTTTTAAGTTATTCTCTCCTTTAGGTTATGTATAACGTAAAACTCTATGATTTCAGTCATCTAAACTGCCAGCTGAGTCTTATTTCACATTTCGCCGACAAATCCACCAGGTACAAATAACTGTTAAATTAGGGCTACTTAGATCAGCCCTTATGTCTATCGATAGAGAACTCCACTTTTTATCCAGCAATTTTCAATAGACAAGTTTATTTCTCTAATGTTTCTCCCCGTCAGTGCAATAGTTATCCTATTTCTACTGAAACTTTTTTTATAAGGAATTAAGCCCTTAATCACTTAACCTTAATAGATGCAATATTTATTCCCACTTCAGGGCATTTACCCTCTAAAACAGCAGCATAAAAAAACTTGTTAACATCAGCAGAATGTGGAGATTAATAAATAACATCAGCATGTGGAAACCCCGGATAGCAGCGGGATAAGTAGCAGTAGCATTTGTTTCCAACCCAAATTTTGCTATTGTACGACTTTGCTTTATATCAGAAAATTTTTCATGATCCCAAAAAATTTTTTTTTCTTTAACGGCTTTCATAGACACCTTATTTATGCTGTAATTATCTTGCTTCTATTGAGGCTTTATATATCCAAAGTCAAAGTTTTAAACACTTAGCCTTTATGATTTATGTGAAAAATTCAGTTCCATTGCAGTGTATAAAACGTATATGTTGATTGCTGAATATTGGTTCATTAATGTGATTTATATTAAACTTCTCCAGTCATTGCGGTCTTGCCCAGTGCAATTACACTAGTGTAACCCAAAATTTGCTGTTTTAAAACTTCGCTTAATATCAAATAGTACAGATATAAGCCTTTATACTTGCGTTTCGTTGAGGTGCCCCTTTCTTTTCTTTTTCTTTTCCTTCTCCTTTTCAATTAGTTCCTCTTTTCAATCACTTGTAGCATTCTTCCCTCTTATTCTCCTCTGCCCTCCAACGTGTCTGTTATATGCTACTGTTTAAAAAAAAATGTTTTCGGTGTCTTGAGCCGTATTAAACTGGTGCTTTTCCCCTTTCGATTTTGCTGTCAAGTGTCAGGGCAAAATGGTTCTCTTTGCCGAAGTGAGGAAAAGGCATGAGTGTGTCTCTTGGCATATGTAAAGTGTAAAAGTTCCCTTTCCATTTTGCATTCAAGTGTGAGAAGAAAAGGTGTGCTTTTGTTTTCTGGACTTAATCTAAAGGATTTTGATTTGTGCTCTAATTTGTGTTATTTTTACGGTTACACATTGGGGATGATAATAATGTGAATTTTTGTTTGTTAGTTGTTTTTAAGACAAGCCTTATTGTTATGCTTTAAGTATCGAGGGTAAAAATTGTGCTTTTTCCCAAGGTGAGATACTGGCATGAATGCGACTCTGTGCCTATTTATGGTGTAAAAGTTGCCTGGGCACTCCATTAAAATAGCCTTGCAAATAGGTTACAGTTGACAAGGTGATTCACACAGACAGTTTGCAAAGTTCTATAAGGGAGCTTTGAAGAACAGTCAACCTCCAGGTCGCCAAAACTTAACAGTGTATGGTATGATAGAGTCTGGTATGACAGTTTTCAATAGTAACTGGTCCAAAGTGACAAACTGCATGCTGCCTGGAAGGGCCCTTACAAGATAGTAAAAGAAGTCTGTGATACTACCTATGTAGTCCCGAGCTCTGCTGATGAGAGAATGAAATGCACCTTCCACATAAATATGCTGAAGGCATATCATGAAAGAGAGAAATCAGTGGCTGTGGTGTGCGCCCCTACCAGACTTGGTTTTGAGGAAGGGAGCCAGTCAGGCTCCATGGACAAGGTCCAGCTAGGGGAGAGATTGGGACTCCGAGAGAGGAAACAGGTCAACCTGCTACTAGTGACAAAAAGGCATACATTTTCTAACGTACACAACTCTAGCAACCTACAATACTAGAAACCTTGTTACCACACCCCTGAGGCAGTCTGGGGAGGGATGCGGACAGAAATACAAGAGATGCTCAGGATAGGAGTTATGCATTCCTCATATAGTACCTAGGCTTCTCTGGTAGTGCAGGTACTGAAGCTGGATGATCGTACCTGCTTATGTGTCAACTATCAGTAGTTAAATGATAAAACTGCAACTGATGCCTATAAGTAGATAACATGCTAGATCATATGGCAAGGGGAAGATGCCTTACAACTATAAATCTGTGTAAGGGCTAGTGGCAGAGGAGGCTATCCACAAGTCAGCATTTGTTACTACATTTGGACTATACCAATTTAGGGTCATGCCATTCAGAATAAATAATGTCCAATCTACCTTCCAGCATATGGTATATAGGCTCCTCAATGGCATCCAGGATTATGCTTATGCATACCTGGATGACATTGCAATCTACAGTAATACCTAGGAGGAACACCGCATCCACATAGGGACAGTCTTAGATAAGAATAGGGAAGCCAGCTTGACTCTGAAACCTGATAATTGCCAGATAGGCATGCCGAAGGTGCCAATTGGTGCACTCTCATGCCAAGACTTGAGGTATGGCCTTCCTAGGTATTGTGAAATATTACAGACAGTTTTCCCAGAGACTAGTGCTGTCGTGAAGCTCCTGACAGACTTGACTGAGAAAAACCTTCCCAGACAGGTGCTGTGGTGTGAGAAAGCATTTCACCAACTG